TTCCTAATTCAGATGTAGGAAAAATGTGCTAAAAATTTGACTGTACAGGTACTAGGGTTATTTCATGTTTTGGCACCCTACATTATCCAAAAATTGTAATGTTTTTTTTGATACAAAAGCTACACAAAAACTGTATGGGATTTTTTTCATAGAGAAGTGGCTATATTATTTTATTATAGGTCCTGCAGAAACTGAAAAATCCTACATGATTAATATAATCACAAACCTTCTCAAATGTAAGCACAAATCTTATCTCCTGATAGCACTTATAGGTAATAATACAAAATATAGAAAGAATAGCAATCCATTCTGAACTATACCTTATGTTCACACAGAATTGTTTTCACACACATGCTTATGTATATACAGAATTAAGAAATGATTAAAGAAATTAATACTATTATTATTGATAAAATATCTATGGTCTTTGCTAAATTATTAAATTTTATCTCACATCTATTTGCAAGTCTTCATAATAATGCTTTAGTTTTTGGTAATGTAAATGTTATAGTGGTTGGTGATATTGCTTAACTACTACTAATTACTGGTCAACTAGTATTTCATACAGCGTTCTGGAAATTATTTTACCCATTATTTTTAAAAGCACTTCAACGTCAAAATAATGATATGGAATTTTAGCAACTATTAGAAGAAGTACAAATGGAAAATATCTATATAGAATCATGAAATAAGATATAACATCAGCATTTAGATTTCTTAACAAACTCTCTAATTGACACTTTATTAAATACTATACATATTGTGGATTTTAAAGAAAATACACAAAGTTTAACTGTATAATATGTGATTATCTTCCTGTTTCTGATAATAAATTCTTGATCTCACATACTACAGATGTCATAAATTCAATCCCATATGACCCATCTTATTTAAATCGTATGTTTAAATCCAAAATAAACCTCTTTTTATCTATTCATTTCAAACCAAGTACATTTGTTATGTATCTCAATAATTCTCTTATTAATCAAGGCATATACAATAGTACAATTGAGTAATAACTAATAAATCAATCTGTTTATATTACTTTATCTGTTTATGATTCAATAATTAATGTAAAAATTTATAAAAATACTCATTATTTTCAAATCAATAGAATTAATTATTGTCATATTCAATTTTCCTTATAAAATTCCTTTGCACTTATTGTACACAAAACCCAAAGCTTGACTTTACTAAAGATTTGCCTTGCTTTAGATGGAAATATTTTTTCATTCAGTCAAGCTTACATTGCTCTTAGCAGATATTCTAATTGGAATAACATTGAGATTTCTCATTTTGATGTATCAGCATTTATGATCAAAATGTCATTTCTGAATATCAAAGGTTACTTAATATTATCATGACAAATTCTCTTCTATTCGCATGATCTTTCAATCATTTTTTTATTATTAACGTTATTAATTATTTCATTTATTTATTATTATTTATCTATAAATCATCTATATATATCACTTATTAAATGCAATAAAAATCTTTATTATTTTTTATTTAATAATTGTTCAAAAGTAAATGATCTCAAGTGATTTATTTATGAAATATGATATTCTAAAAACCTTTAATCATACTCAGCTATTTATTTTTTTTAATAAAAATAATAGATTAATACACCAATTAATTCTCATTTTTCATTTTAGAATTATTTAACTTTTTATAAAAATATCCTGATTGACCTTTAAAAATCATCCATTCTATTTTCGTGATAATTATTTGACTACTGTATATCATTTGATTGGATTAATGGTTGCGTAACGTAATTACTACCTATTCGGATACTGGAAAAAAAAAATACTGGCTAGTTTGTTGATAAAATTTTCTGATAGTAGAATATTTTATTAAAATTTATTTTAGAGTAAATTAGATAAGAAAATAAATACATTGTAGTATAAATTATTGATCAAATTAATTAATATAATTAACGCGATGATCAGGTCCTCAATCAGTATATAGAAATAAATATGGTTTATTTTCGTTTCTATTACTCAAAATTTTGTATAGTTCAGCCATTTGACGCAAAGGATCAGAATGCAGAAAAATAGGATCTTTTAAACTTACATATACTTGTTCTCGATAAAATGATTCATCAATAGAGCACAACGGTTAATTTCGATTTCTCAGAGCATAGTTTAGCAGCAAAAAAGTCACGTTTAATAATAATAACACAAACTTCAACAAAAAATACGTAGCAAAAAAACGCGAATATTGGTTTTAATGTAATGTAAACGCGGTTAAAACGTACGGACGCGATAAGTAAAAAAAAAAGATCGGAGATTATCAAATCAGTCACGTTTCACAATTTCATTGGGTGTAATCACGTGAGGCGACAGATAGTCCTTTGCTAATAAAAAAAATCACATGCACGGAACTTTTTTTAAAATTTTTATTTTATTAATTCCGCAAATACAAATGATAATGGTCTGATAATGCTTAATAGATTATTAAAAACAAATTTTATAATTCATTGACGTGTGTAAACATATTTTTCTGTTTTGATACTTTAAAATCGGAAATTATCAAATTAATCGCTAGGTACAGGTACTTTCATTGGAGAATGAAAAAACATCATATCTTTAATTTTCAGCTTTTGAGAGTTTGTTGATATCGTCTGGGTAGTTCTACTTCGGGTAAAAGATTGGTACTTAGTTGCCTCCTTGTTTACGAGATCCTATAAGCCTTATTGTTAATTTTAGCCCATAACTGATAAAGATATAATTTAATTGTAATTAATTTCGGAATTGAGGTCTGCCTACCTGCACTGTGGCCATCACCTGAAAAACATTCATGAGTGTTCCCCATGTTGTTGGGCTTTCCGGAAATATGAATTCTCCAATTAATGCCATTCTATAAATCCCATCGTAAGGGAGATCCATGACGTAACATCTTCCAATATATCCTAAAAAAAGACAAAGTTATAAATTTGCATTTTTACATATGATATCGGCCACACTCTGCTTACCAATGACATGTAGCCCGGAGACAATGAGATCAACTCCCTCTTTTAACAACTTATCTTTTGATGCCCTCATTGTTTTTCCCAAAGTTACCAGATCCTGGTTTATCAGGTCTACACGTGCATTGGGCGGTTTTATTTCTGCAAACATCAATTCGGCATATTTTTTTGGATTAGTAGTTCTGATGGTAAGATCAGGTTTTGATCCAGAAAGGATAGGATCGAATCGTTTCTTCATTTGAGCAGATGATTCTGACGTCCTGTTTGCCCTACGAATCAACAAACAAGTTATGATTATTTTATATTATACATTAAATTTCATATAAATATTGTGCATACCAGTCTGTAACTGTTTTTTTACCTTCGGGAAAAAATGACTTAATTATAGGATCTACATAGTTGTGAGAGTGTGTATCCTCAATTTTGTTATTTTTGGAAAATAAGCTTTGATAGCTATCAGCGCTAGAATATATATGATATCTCATTAGAATCAGTGCTTCAATAATAATATGCAATTTTCATGAAACATACAAACTAGAAAGAATATTATGCATTATCTCTTCTAATTCCCCATCAGTCTTATAATTTTTGAGAAATTTTTTAATCTCGGTCCGACGTTGTCGGAATTCCTGTTGTTGGCACCCGATCTGAAATTATAATAGCCCAAATAATTTAACTACTATTCATTGGAAATTTTAAATTCATACATTACCTTCAAAACGCTTCCGCACAAATTGAAGACACCTTCTGGAACAGCTACATAGGGATATTGAGCGTAAATTTCAGAGAAGATATTTTGCCACAATTCGTCATCAAAATGCTCTCGAAGCCCTTGTTGATTTTCTTCTTGAAGGAGGAAAATGTGATTTAGAGCTCTGTGAGAGAGGAAAGAAAAATATAGTCATGTCATAGTTCAATCATCCAGAAACAAACATGATACATACAGTTCTTCGTCAGCGTTTAAAATCTCCATTGAATAGCATTTCTGAATAACAGAATCTCGGTATTCCATACAAATTACGGAAATGTCCACTTGATTAACGATCCACTGTTATGAGATAATAAAAGTTCACGCTGATGTATAATAAAATCCATAATGATAATTATATTACTTACCCTTATTGAATCTTCTTCCAGATTCCATTCGATTTCACCGGGACCTACAAAATAGTTGACATAATATGACTTCTTCCTAGCCTTCACTTTGATGAAATCTTCTGATACCGGAGAATCAAAAGATGGAGTATAAGATGATTCTGTGTCTTTTGGGCTAATTGTATTTCTGCGTAATGGGATCTCATCAAAAGTCACAGTTCTTATCTGCAAATGTAACTGAAGGTTGAGAAGACATTTTGTTGTAGGCTATATAAATTAAAAACGAGATTGAAAACTCACTTGGTGTTCCGGAGTATGTGGCTCGACAAATTTTCGCTTCAAAGCTATTATTTGTGTGTGAATTAATAATGGTGATTAAATCTTTTGATGAGTATCATATTTCTTCACTAAAGAGCCCTAACATAAATGTTATCTTACTTTTTTCGCTGGGAAATTCGGTCGCTGCTGCTCTGGTTGATGCACGTATTCCAATCGTTAACATCTCACACTAATCAGTTAGAGAAGAGTTACATCAGGGTCTTGCATGGTAATGAGATCGAAAAGCATTATGTACTTTGTTCACCCGATTTTCAATAGCTAGTTTTCCCAGTTTTGTGGAGTATTCCTTCCACAACTCAATATTCGCAGAATCTTTCTTAATGTCCTTTGAAGAAAATATACTGTAAGTAGATGTCATTATAATTATAATATTATTCACAGTAGATATTTTAGCCACGCTTCAGGCAAAGACGCATTTTGCCTTCAGCCACCCACTTCGGGCAAAGACGCATTTTGCCTTCTGTAACAACAAGGTCACTCGAGACGCATTCGCAGGGTGTGTATGTAGCTTAAGAACTAACAACAATCGGATTTCAGAACCCACTTCGGGTAAAGACGCATTTTACCTTCTGCAACAAGGGCACTCGAAACGCATTCGCGGGGATGGTCTTCCAAGTTGGAATAAAAATAAAAAACCACAAACCTTTAAAGCCGCCCGCATGTCAAATGCCTTCTGATAACTATAGCTTGTTGCTGGAAGTTGGTCAAGGAGAAGTTCCAGTTCGATTCCAAGTGACTGATGTGCTAGCAGTTTTGTAGCTCCAGGAGTATGGTTGATGAAATATACATCCCAGTCGCTTACACTCCACTCTTCTGGATCTCTATTCCAGTAGTCTACAAGAGAAAAAGACTTAATTAATTTGAAACAATATAGGTATGATAGAACCTTACCTAAGTAACGGAGAGCTTTAGAAAAATCCGAGCTGGGTTCTGAGGTCATTATTCAAAGCAACAGTTATAATAATGCGACTGAGTCACGATGTTGATTATTGTATGATTATCAAAAAGAGATGATAAAAAAAAGATTTACGTTTGACTTCGATCTTAAATATTGGTTCAATAGATTATCAAATGATTATCCACGCGTTTTTACGCGTTTTTACGCGTTAACTAAAATAAGTATTTTTTTAATTTTGACCGGGAGTACCTTCTTGTATCTCAGCTGTTTACGTAATTTGAAATTGGGTTACGGATAAAAAGAAAAAACAATACAAAAAATAATTTTAGAATAAAAAGTACATGTATTTATAAAGTTTTATAAATTTTTTCGATCTAAACTTCAGTTACAAACCGGTTCATAAAATTATTGAGCTCGGTCCACGTAGGGATGAGTTAGTCCGGTCCGGTCCGTCCGCAGTCCTAAAGACCGGTTCTTAAAGTTGTTATTGAATTAGACCGGTTTATAAAACCGGTTTATTGATCGGTCTAGGACTGATTTACAAGACCAGTCTTATATCTGGTATAGCATATACAGTATAATTTTTAGCGTTATATCTGATCCTAACATATATAGTATATACAGAATTTATAATCATAATGAAAAAACTTTAAAAAATTATTTGAATACTTTATTTACAGCAACCAACCGCAACAAATTTCTTGAAATTTTTAAAAAATAAAATATATTTAAACTTATTATTAAA